GCAAACAGCATTTCTAAAGACAGAAATGCCAACTGACCCAGTTAGGGACCTTTTTGCTGTGAGGCGATTGTGCTACCCACTGCACTGCATGAAACCCTATTAATATACAACACATTTTTATATTTTTAATAGATTTTTTTATTATTGAAAACATTTTACTTGTATGTGTGTAAAAATGGAGGAATTTAAGTTAGCTTATTTAATTGGTTGTGACAAAAGTAAAGAAAATTTTATTAAATATTAAGTTAAAACTGGCGAAGTTGAAAACAAAAATGCAATTATTTCACCAACATGTACAGTAATTGTCACAATTTTAAGGCAGTTCAGTGAATACATCAAATAATTACTACAAATTCCATATGAATTCAAAACACAACAGTAAAAAAATGACATACAATTTTGTATATTTCAATTCCTCTGAGGCAGAACTGGCCAAAATCCCCAATTTAAGTGGAAAAATATAGTCCTCAGATCAGCTACTTCTCATGCCAAATCCATTGTCATCTGGAACAAATACAGCACATGCTAAGTGACAGTGCACAGTATTGTCAGAAAGTGTCAGATCAGGCATGTGAGCACATGTACTGTAGCAGAGAGTTCGAGCGGAGCGCAGACGTCTGCTCCATCCTCTCCTGTCTGCCTCCGAGGGCCCGTGGCCGACATTTCTGTTTTCTTTCTTGCATTTTTTGTTTTATTTAGGACTCCGCCAGCGTCCTCCCTCCACCCCGCCGCTCGCTCTATTTCGGAGAGCAGTGGCTTGGAGAGCAGTCAAGTTTGATTAATTTTGGGATTTGGGTACAGTATGTTCCTGGACACACATCTGCGAGCAATCATAAATGCTCCAGAATGCTGGCAGAACATCCAGACCTGCCGGCAGCTGATGATGTCATCAGTGCGAGGGAAGAGCTGGCGCGCGGCCAGGCTCTGAGAGCAGGGCTTCTCCCAGCAAAAAAGAGAAAGACATTAAGAGAAAACATCTTGACAGCCCGAGCGCCGCACATGACGAATGTTCGATCTCGTTTGTGCTTCACGTCACACGCGAACAGGTGCATCGGCGGATTACCAGCAGATTAAATGTGGGAGTCGCTGAATATTGTTGCCAGTGTTTATGATATTGATTTATAACAGATTAAGAGGTTCGGATTTGGAAGGGGAGGAAAAAAATATATATAATAAAGCTCTTCCTCTTGCTTTTGTAAACACACACACACACACACAAAAAGAAACAGATGGAGATATCTGGCAGGTGTTTTTGGATGGGGATGGAGATATAGAAGAAGAGTATGTGTGTGTGTGTGTGTGTGTGTGTGTGTGTGTGTGTGTGTGTGTGTGTGTGTGTGTGTGTGTGTGTGTGTGTGTGTATTCGACTTAATTAAATATCAATATCAAATATCAATACTTAAACTGACTTCATTTTTTTGTTCCTTTTACTACTGGGAATCTACTTCAATTAAAATATATATTTAATTTCTAAATTATATTTGTATATATGTTAAGATGTGAATTAAACATAGCACAGATAAAAAAAAAAAAACAGCCAGATGGAGAATGAGACATAAAAGAGAGGGAGATTTTCGGTTCATTTGGAGAAGAGTGCTGTCAGAATCTTGACAAAAATGTGAGCTGATAAAGTCAAGTGAGGTGGGCTTCACAAACCCTCCAGAGAGACGACCAGAGACTTAATCAGACAGATGGACACACACTCACACACACACACATGCACACATACACACACAGACATGCACGTGCTCCTGCCAGTTTGAGTGCATTTCCCCTCCACTTGAAACAGGACATTCCCCTCTAAAGCACAGTTTATTGTGGGCAACTACTGGATTTAACATGCATCAGTCACATTCTAGGATTCCTGATTCTCAAGCTGGTTTACAAGTTTGAATTCCACCATTTTTACACAAACAAACAAACAAACAAACAAACAAACAAACAAACAAGCAAGCAAGCAAGCAAGCAAGCAGACAGACAGACAGACAGACAGACAGACAATAAATCCAATAAATGCTTTTTAATGTTGGTATTACTTCAACTAACACAGGCAAGATTTACTTATTAGATGATATTTTATTATAATTTGTTCCCCACTAAAATGTTTACAATAAATAATAATAGGCCAATATTTATTGGCAAGACAACTGTCAAATTTTGGCATAAATGTGCAGATTTTATTCCTCTCGAAATGTTTTGGTAATAAATAATGATAGATTTATATGCATTGTCTAGAGACTGATTATTATTATTATGCTTAAAAAAAGAAAATCTTATTTATTTTTGGTGCTTTTCGCTTTAACTTAGTTGATGATTGACTGTAAAGCTTGTTTGGCATGCTGTCCCAGGAGAGAGCCCTGAGCTCATAAGATCCTCGAAACCGTGGCTCTCTCCCATTTGCAAGGCGAGAGTTTGAGCTCAGGTAGGTCTCGAGAACTCTCCTGCTTTAGTAGCTAATGAACAGATACTATTATGTTGTATGTTCTTGGACGGTGGGAGGAAACCGGGGAACCCGGGGGAAAACCCACGTGAGCACAAGGAGAACGTGTAAACTCCACACAAAAACATCGGCTAGCTTGGTAAGGACTAGAACCAGTGACGTTCTTGCTGTGAGGCAACAGTGTTAACCACTGGGGAACCATGCCACCTATCTAGGAAAGAAGGAGTAGTAGCGGTGTAAGGGGGGATTCATCAAAACGTAGATGGCTGTTATATGGAACTTAGGGCATTTATAGTGGCTTAGGAATCGTCTGATTTGTAATGATTGAATGTAGGACCAGCCGTAAGCACTTGATCCTCTGAAAATTAGTTTATAAATAAACTTCACATGATAGGACATAGCCATAGCTGTATGTCAGCATATTGCCCATTAGGCTACCGGTGCCGACAGACTGATTATTGTTATTATGCACATAATTAAGGCATATATAAGTTTAGGGCAACCTTTATTTAATATTAATAAATGGGAAATGACTGATATATATATCAGTGCTTCCCACAGGTTTGAAATATACTAGCGGTAGCCGAATTGAAACACATTTACCCAGATCACATAAATTGTAACTTTATGCGACAAACAATAAATAATTACATTTTTAACAATAATATTATTTATTATACACTGTTTCTTTTCAATAGGTTAAAGTAAAAAAACGACATCCACAATTTCTCTTACACCCACTGACAGGTCAAATCTGCTTCTCTTTTTCTTTCAAGTTCAAAGCAAACTTAAATGCCAAAGCATTTTAGATTTGTATATAAAACAGCCTATGTAATATATTAACATAATCAAATTATTAAAATAATCAGCAAAATGGGAAATAAATGCAGAAAAAATAATAAAAACAGACAATATCTCTTAAAATGATCATAATTACAAGATTCAAACCTGTAGATTTTTTTAAAGGCAAATGTGTTGAATAACCATCACTAATGGTGTACATACATTTTGATGCCAGTTTAAAACAGTTTTGTTCATTTATTTCTCTTCGAGTAAATAGTAAAGTTAGTCATTCAGATAAAAAAATAATTATTTATTGTTTCTCTCGCACTCGCGGTCAGTTGCAAAGCCAAGTGAAAGTAGGCTTAAGTAAAAAAATGATGCAAAAATGCATACGAGCTTTAGAAAGTGAAAGCAAAAGTTGAATCCTGGACATTTTACTACATTTAAACCTGGCCAGATGAATTTTCCCATAGATCCAATAAGGCACGTCTCTGTTGGTCTGCAGAGCACGTGAGACTGTCTGTGGGAGTGCTGACAGGTCTCGTGCACACAAAACCAAACAGGTAAACGGGAGAAGATGTTCCTCTACTTAATCAATTGTGGATGTTTTGTTATTGTGCGGATACAAAAAAAGGAAAGGATGTTAATAACAGTAGAAAAGATTCAGTGTCACTAAATATACTTGGGCAGCCGTTAATATACCTGGGCCCAACTGAACTCTACGTGTGGAAAGCACTGTATATATTTTATTTTCTGGCTACTATTGTATTTATTTATAGAATGTATGCATCTGTGTATTTGTGCACATCTTCGCAATAAATAGATGGTATTTTAATAAATATCATCTTTTTCTGAGCAAATATTGTGTTTATTTATCATATATAAAATCGGAAAAATGTTTCCCTATTATAGAAATTTTGATCAAATAAAGAAGCCATGCTGAACAGAAGAGACTTCTTTCAAGACAACAAAAAATATTGTTTCCAAACTTCTAACTGGTAGTGCTAAAAGTTATAGAGAATAAGACAATAAAAAAGCAACGTCGGTCAACCGCACAGCACACGCTGTAAAGCAAAACCCGAAAGGGAAAAATCTTAAAAAGGGAGCTACAATAAAAAACAGGAAGACAGCTGAACGACACAAGCCAAAAGCACATTGTTTCAGTGCTACACTTCACTTTTGCAGTCTGCGTCTGGTTTATTTTATGTCTACGGTTATGCAACAGACCCCTTTGATAACCAAAATGCGACGGCAAAAGTTCGAAGTTAATAGCACACATCGGCACGAAACAATACCACACGCTTACATAACACACAACAGCATCATTTCAACATGATCGTTTAATTATGGCTTTGAATGTGCATAAACAACTGGATCCATCCCTCCCTTAAGTGTGTTTGTGTCCTACACCTCCTCCTTACAATGGTTGAAAAAACCAAGCTGGCAATATACACTGTACGTACTGTACTAATAACATGGCAAAGTGCCCAGACTGGACCTCTGCCAGGCTTGAAATGTAACAGTTGAGATGCATTTGAGAGTGGAAGGGGAATTGGGAAGACGGGGATAACCAAACACTGCGTCACCCATGCACACAAGTGCAATGTTCCATCTGTTACAGCAGGTTAAGCGTGCGGTACATGCTGGACAAACACAGGGCAGCAGGGCTTGACACTTGTTGCCCAACAGTGATCACATATCACTTGTGCAATGGCACTGTAACCTGTGTTTTCATCCTTATCGGCTACTGTGTTTGTGTGTGACCGCAGTGTTTTACCTGAATGAGACAGCATGTGCATTCTCAGCCGTAAACTGTCCAGAAACTGCTTTCCGCAGAACTCACAGCCAAAGGTCTTCACTCCGCCGTGAAGTTTCCTGCGAATGAAATTAAGAATGAGAAACTCAACAGGTGCACACTAAGAGAGGGTCAAAACTTGATCTCAAATTTACAGGTAATGTGGGCTTTTACTAAATGAGTTTATCAATGTGTAAACAGTTGCTTGTTAAAATAGTCATTTCTACATCACCAGTGTGAACAAACAGAATAATTTAAAATGTTATTGTTCTCAAACATATTTCAAACGCTCCTCTTACTCTGCCATTGGTTGAACAGATAGCCACACCCTCAAAACTGACACAACAGGTCTTCTCAGGAAGACTGACTAACTTTTCTTTAGAATATTAAGCAATTCTAATAATGCAATTCTAATAATGAACAAGTAATAATAATGATATTATATATATATATAGTCAAAAAAAAAATATATATTTTTTTTTAATAGTCAAAAATATAAATATTTTCAACAATCTGCAGGCTGTCAATAATAATGATACAGTAAACCTCAAACTCTGTAGACAAATCAAATTATGATAATCAAAGCTGAGCTTTAAAAATAAAGGAACCAAGCATCATTTTTCAAATACACACTGCGACATTACAAATTGTGAATTTCAATGACAACATTATACCCTGTGCTAAAAAATCTTTCAGATGGGGAACTGGTGGATGGGATGCATGAGAAAAGAAACCAAAAAGCTACTCTGGTGACATCCTTGCATCCTTTTTCTTTACAATGTCCTCACTGCTGCTATACAGAACTCGTTTTTACATGTGGTCTGACTCATAACTGTATGACCATCAACCGTTTTCTCAGAGGATGATAAACGGACAAACCCCTGCTGCAGCTCAGATGCAAGTTTATGGAGAAAAGTAAAAAGCGCTGCAGTGTTTGGATGTGCTGTGTTCACCTGAGGTAATTAGTCTGCCGTTACTGAAATATGTAAATTCCATACAAAGCGTGAAGCAGATTGGTTAGTTCTACTTATATGAATTATGGTGCACTCTAAGTTCAGATGTTTTTTTATTAGGTCTACTTGGAAAATGCGTGTGCGTCACGTGTGTGCTGCTTGCAAGTCATGTCCGTGTCATGCAAGTTGTGCCTTTATTGGAAATGACAAATTTACACCCAATTTACACCCTAAGCTTATTGGCATTCTGTGCAAGGAGCGTACTTAGTAGGCACTTTTTAATAAGACTATAGCCTTCATACCAAAACTTCGTACCAAACTTTTTTTTAATAATTAATGAAAAAGGTGTTTGGTCAATAAATATCGATACAGATTTTATAACCCACACTGTAAAAATAAAAAACTGTAAAAATGCTACAGTTAAAATCCGTAACGTGGTTAACAGTATGTTTTTTTAATATATACAGCGAATAACCGTAAACTGACTTTCCCAGATCTCCCTGCGTGGCACATCACTTTTTATGCTTTTTGTTGACATTACTATGGATCTTTTTATTTGTTTTCCCATCAGTTATGTACATTAGAGATTTTTGCTTCATCTAATGTTGATAAACAATGTTTATTTCATGACTTTAATTTTATGCATGTTACCATACTGGTGTTTAGTAGCTGTGTGAATGACACTGAGCACCTTTTATACACTGATACACTTCTCTGCTTGTGGGAAACGTTGTTTGTGATGAGCATTGGTTCATTATGTAACTTTCTCATCACCACTTGCATATGGCTGTGTTAACATGTCTATCTGTGAAACAAAAGATGTGTAGATGTTGGTAATTCAAAATACAGACATATTACGTCTGTAAATTAATGAAATACGGTAGTTTACTGTATGTTTAACGGTAAAATACTGGCAACCACAGCTGCTGGTTTTTCCTGTAAATTTTACGGATTTATTGTTTTACAGTGCAGCCCTACAGTAAGTGGATTTTTGAATAAAACCCAGATTAAGTTCTCAGCATTGCATTTTAACAAAAAACAAATAAGTTTGTGATATATTTACAGTAGAAAATTGACAAAATATCTTCATGGAACATGATCTTTATTGAACAGTCAAAACTAAAGATTTTTAATATACAAGAAAAATTCACAACTTTGACTTATTTAAGTTATTTACGCTTTTGCCAGTGCAACAAAAGACTGGTTTTGTGGGCCAGGGTCAAATATAATACTTTAACAGTGCATTTTGGCCTTGCTTCTTTCTACTTTCACTGTATACAAATCAGCTTGAACATTCTCAAAATCATCACTTTGTGTGCATAGTGCAAGAAATTCATTTACTAAAATGAACCATTCCCTTCAATGATAAAAAAAAAACACATTTTTATTTAGGAATGCAGCTTCATAAATCCACACTTGATATTCAAAACACGCCTGCGTCTGTGGCTCATAGTTTATTTTGATGATACTCTCGACAGGGTGCTGTGAAAGGTTTAGGGCACGTACTTCAAAGACTTCAGGCTCTCGAAATATTCATCAAGCAGGTCTGAATCAATTAGGGCTAATACAGCAAAAGCCGTTAATGAACTGAATAGCATATGCCATCATCCGATGCTTAAAATAAACCCAGACCTGGATTCAAGAAACGCAACCAGATTGTCTACAAACCAACGCAGAGCTATGAAATATTTACCGTCCAGACGTAGTGACCCGGTGGCTTGAGAGAAAACATTTATGGCTTGGTTTTATCAAAAATTAAACATGCCTCAGAGAAAGGGTACACAAAGAGCCTGAACAAATATATACACTCCATTTCAATGAAGTAGCCGCGAGTGAAGCGTAGGGCCAAAAAAACACCCGTCAGAGTCAAACATGCAGATTGTCCGTTCAATCTGTCCTCTAACTCTAAATATTTGTTTTAATTAAACCGTATGAGATGCTCCTGAAATACCCGGCAGTTCGGTATGTTTAACTGAGTCACGCTGTACATATCAACGACTCGTCCCCCGCCCACCACTGTTCCCTTCTCTCGCCCGAGTCCTTTCATGTGAATTCCAGCCACACACACACACACAGACGCACCGTCGGCGCGTGCGCTGCATCAGCGAGCAGTCGAGCGAACCCGCCGCAGACGTAACCTTTATTCCTGCTATAGAGCCCTTAATTATCACCACTCCGCAACCAGGGCGCTGCCAGACATGCACGGGCTCATTATGAACAGGGGCATATTATTTCACCTTGAAAAAAAAAAAAAAAGCTATTAAAGCCAACTCTCTCTACCACTAAAAGATTCATTCCAGGACATTCTGTCGAAGATCATTCAGAATAGTAAAAGTGAATTAGCTGCTAATTCCCATTCAAGTGTCAAATCAACACCCTCAGATAACGGTCATTTTACTTGCTGCTCAGGTCATGAGCCTTTTGGTCGAGGGCGCAGACGGAATGTGTGTTTAGCTGCATTTCACAATCTGTAGCATCTGCTGCTTCGTCCCCCTTTGCAGCCACAACACAGGGTCTGAAATAGAGCGGCTGACAGAGCCCAGCCTCCTATAAACAATATCCACTCAACCGCAGTGGACACGCTGAGCACCGCTGTCGGCAGCCAACACACGCTATCTGCAGATTGGTGTGTTCCCTGGATAAACACTAGTGTTATCTAACTGAATGCTGCTTTTTGGGTTGAAAAGGAATATTATTGTGCAGCTAAGGTTTACAAACACTGTACAACGAATACTGAGGTTTATAAAAGGACTGCATTAATGCACTTGTAATTGTGGGCTTGCAGATTGTTGAAATTGCCTTGTGTATACATATATTTCTAAAAGTTTTAACATGCTAGCATTGTTGCTTTAATATACTAATAGTAATAGCAACTGTCCAATTCAATTCATAATAACACTGCTAAAACACTGTAACAGCTCTTTTGCAATGCATTTTATTTCAAGACGATTATTGTCAGAGGGAAAAATTCATGTGGTTTGTAAGATTTCTGTTGTTCTCTGCTCAACGTTTATTTTTCTGTAGAATACCTACGATGTCATATATCAATATAATGAGATCCAATTTGGGGTGAACTACTTCTAAAACGGATTAAGACTCTAGTTAACTCACCAACTAGCCAATTGTGTATATCCCATATAAACACAGTTAATTCGTTTTTTTAAATTTTTTTATTATATGCTTAATACACAACTGAATATTTACATTCATTGAGTAATTTTAGCAGAATGTTAATATAAGTTATCCTTACCAAATGTTGCCTTTTGGCTTTAAAGTGAATGTCATGCTGTTTCAAGCTATAATTTTTAACAGTATCGTTTTAATAAATGTATGATGCTGATGAGCAGCTTACTGAGGTTGACTGGTGTATTTATATAGATTTGTCTCTTTGTTTATCTATAGGCTACAGTATGCTTTGCTTTACTGTGAAATAGTAACTGTCACAACAGACTGACCTAATTCAATTCATAACACTCATGCTATAGCCAAGAAAACACCTGTTTCAATACAATCATTGTCAGCTCCAAAATAAATAAAGTTGTATACGTTTCACTACATGTTGCTATTTGGATCTCTCGTTTTTGAGAGTTAAAAAGTGCTGAAAAGAGATCTTAAAGCTGACATACAGACTACATGACAAACTGGATGTTTATCAGATAAGGTGGGGAAAGTATATGGTATTTTTGGAAGAGGATGAATAAGGTGTTTGTGGTATTTTTTGCTCTTTTTTTCTTTAGCTGATTGTATTTATTGGATTTATGATAGCAACTTGCATATAACTATATCTGACATGCTGTTAGGGGTAGGAAGAGGGGATGTTAAACTTATGGAAAGAGGGAATGACTTAAAGGGGACCTATTATTTTACATCATCTTGTAAAAAAAAGGGGCATCAGTCTTTGAAACTGCCCCTTTGGATCTGCCGGTTTTGATCCAAATAGTGCTGTTTTGCTGACTGTCACTTTACATTCAAATTAGATAGTGCTCTTTTCAAAAGAGGGAAGAGCTATGGACTATTTCAATTTGGGGGTATCATTGTACCATGAACAGTTCCTGCTGTCATCAAACTATTTCAGAATTGTAACAAGGAGTGACAGCTGTCATTACAAATGTATTGATATGTGGTGC